CTACTCTGTGCAAATGTTATCTACTGCATATACTCCCTTCGTATCATGTTCTGTTCTTTTATTCCTTTTTGTTTCTAAGTTCATCGTTGAACGTTCTTTCAATTGTTTGTACTACCCAGCTGCCTGATCATACCCCATCTTTTTGCAATGAAACTGATTTATTTGACAAGCAATTGGCTAAAACTAATTGATTTATTACCCCCCTTTATTATCACTTCTGTCGAGTCACCATCATAATCACCAAAATCCGATAAAATAACAAAAAATGTTCTGTGTCTCAGATCGTTGTTTTACTTGTTAAAACAAAGCATAAGAATTGCAGCAAAATATACTTCTTGTGCTCCTGCATGCCTGATCTGCTCATAATCAATTTTTATCAAAGCATATTCATCCATCATTGGTTCATTTTCCGATTTTATCTTGTTCTGCTCTGCTGTCTTATTTGATTCTCTACCATGCACATTCCTGTTCATCTTATTTCGTTCGCTGCTATGCTTATTTTTACCTTCACCACATTTATACCCTTCTTCATGCTTTTCTGCTACAGCTTCGACACAATAAATGACTTATATACATAATGTAACCACGTATCATTACTCGCACCCCTTTTTCTGAGAGTGTTTCACTTCATAATAAATGTATCTACACCAGATAAATGCAAATCAGATCACAACAGCATTCATATACAACTCCTAACACATTTTCTTCTCCTGTTTTTTTACTCCAAATATTTTTGTTGTACCATTATTTGCACAATACTCTCATGCAGACACACGTCTTATTCTTGTCTCATCGTAAAGTGCCCGTACATGTTTTTGTTCGGATCCGACAAAATATTTTGTTCAATTACACTTCTGTGCACTACTGGCAAAACAAAATATCGTATCTGTTCGCTTATCATCCCTTCTACAACCAGTAAGTTGATCTGTTCATTGTTCCAAATTTGTTTCTATGCTCTTCCATTTCTCGTTTCGTTTCTATAGATTACTAGCATTGTATGCTTTGATTTATTATCCGTATCTGCTTCTCAATATGTGTACAGGCTATAATGTACAATATGTTATGAATAGAACCGATCAAAATTTTGCTCTCTGATCTTTAACACATATTTAGTCTTTTCGCTCATCCCCAAGGTATTCAGAAACAGTGGTACTAGTTTCTTGTAGAGGACAAGAAGCTACAGATATGAACATAGATCACCCGTCATAAGTTCAAATCCGTTGATATATCAAAAACCAATTTATATCTCATGCATAAACGAAGACTTTCTCTCACACAAAAACATTCGGTGTTAATTTCAAAGCCTGTTCAGCCCAGACAATTGATGAGTACTTACAAAGTGTTAACCAAGTTTAACAATACAGCACAATACGCATTATATAGGTTGGTTCGCCGTATCAGCAACTATTTTATATATTTTAGGACATCCCTTGCTCAACATCGAATCAATTTACTAAGTGTTGACCCCTCGGGCAGACAACAAACAACATTCTTAAGTCAAGCAATCACACTTCAGTGCCATTCTTGAATCTCGTTCTTTATAAATTCATCAGCGGTATTATACGAAGTACACACTTCTCTCGCATATTTTGGCACTAGCCGAGTTATTTGGCGGGTAAATACCTGCACCTCTTTCCTATAATTCGTTCTCAATTTTTTGTACACTCAGGATTTATTCATTCATAGCGTAAAAAGTACTTTTTTTTTAAATCGCACGTTTTTGCACTCAGCTCGGCACGTAAGTGCAACATAACATTTCCTTCAATCAATGCTCACCATAACATTGATGTTGATCATTCTTATACGGGATGGACCGTTAGCACGGCAATTGCTGCTCTATTCAAAAAAAATATTTTATACATTCAAAATCGATAACTACGCCCGGATCAAATTGCATGCTCTGTTTCTTCGTATTCCCATTCATTGTTCCAAAGGCATACGCACTTCGATTCACGCATAGATGTTCCTTCTACAAATATTTCACTCCTATTCATCTCCTCTTTGCGATCGCATCTAGCATGCCAATTTAACCATGACATTCCTTGATTGAGGTGGTAAATAAACATTCTTTGATTGAGGTGGTAAATAAAACATCAGTATTCGGTAATTCAAGCACAGATCAAAAATATAAAATATTCTTATGTCATATCACAACCGGTCTGATCAATTCGAACGATACACCAACTCCGGTTCACCATGTACCGAGCGCATAGAACGCATTCATACGAGGCAATTCCGCAGATCAAACACTTGGACAAGCCCAAAAATAGAGCTGCCGAACATCACTCACGTCACGTTATGACAAACCAAATTTAACATGTCCATCAACTCATTCATAATTAACTTCCAATATAATAAACTATAAAATACGATTTATTTGAACGCAACATGAAACCATGGACAGGCCTAGTCTGCTTACGCATTTGGTACCTGCTAGGAAGAAGCATGTTAAGTGCTACGAACGAGCTGCCAGCTACCGAAACAAATTTGAGTCTGTGCAAAAATAATGAACACGGTACTTGTACTACAAACGAACAGAGGTTCTTGCACACGTGTCAGCATCAACTTAGCCCAAAACAATTTTATGAGGCAGTCTCTAAGCACCCGCAGGCTCTTCCACATCTTGCGAATGCCGGGTATATTTTGAGGTGCTACTCAAATCGACTGCTTGCATTCATCAGCCAGGCTAAGGTCTTCGGTTTAGAGAACAACTTTCGAACGCCGACACTAAGCGGCTATTTCAGGTTTAGAATACACGAATTGATGGAGGAGAAGCATCAACGCAGGGATAGGATGCCATCACATGAGGTACTGGAGCTTTGCAACGCGATTCTCATTGAAATTCTGAAAAATTGGTCAGGCTCTGCGAACGATGGTCCTATAATGAACTTAAGGGGTGATGAAGTACGGTTTTGGTCCACGAACGCAAAGTTCTATCAGAACTTCGAAGAAAAACTGAGGGCATTCGCTAGCAATTTCAACAGGTTTGAGTTAATGCAGGTTGAGAGGAACGTACAGGATGGTATGGTGCAGCTGGCAGGCGGTGGAAGTGTGCGGGATGATGCGGGGCAGTTTATCGGTCTTGGGTTTGTGCGCACATATGCCGGGCCTCAATCGCTGAAGAAGCACGGGTGTAAATTCAATGGCCAATATACGGTGTCTACGCAGTGCACAGAGACGAACAGCGCATTAAGAAAGCGCAATGAGCGCGTAAACAAATTAGTTTGGGCTGGCACAGGCAAAGTGCTCCGATCAAATGACACGAAATTCGTATCTCTTGCCAACCCGGACGTACCAATCAAAAATTCGGATCGGTGCACCAGAGGTAGAACGGCAAGCGATCATCAACGCGTGCCGGGCCCATCGCAACGGTTGGCCAAGCATGCAGCGCGGAGCACACCGGCAACCGCTGAGCAAACTCACCTAGCAATTGCATGGGCTGCTCGGGATGGGATCACCGGTGATGACCCTCTGTGTGCTGAACCAGCAAAACCGTTTACGTATCCTAACCAGGATGGTAGGAGCAACGTAAATGATCGGGCAGAAAGCATCAACACGAACGCGTGCCCACGTGTAGTATCGAAGGCAGAGCATTTGCACAGCCTTCACCGTCATGCACCGCCATCCTATTTCATCATAACTCACCAAATAATTCTGCATTACACCTTTAAAACCTACGTACGTCCACCAGGAGAAGATGACGGTATCGCGGCTATTACGGTTGCTGAGCTCACAGAAACGGCTGGTCTTGATGAGCACATCAAATCGGATGACAGCGGGGAGTGCCCGAATGAACGCACGGTGAGCCGTTGTAGCTCACTTCATGACCAGGCACATGCAGAGATAACACCGGGTACGGTTTACGAACGCACGGTGAGCCGTTGTAGCTCACTTCATGACCAGGCACATGCAGAGATAACACCGGGTACAACGGCACCAAGCGTGCACGCCTCAGTGGTACCCGAGTGTTTTAGCGCGCGTGAAAATTTTTTCTCAGTCTGCAGCACCGATGCGGGCATGGCTCACTGGCACGATGTATCGAAATCAATTCTTGGCGAGTGGCCGAAGAGCTTGGAGGAGATTGCGCATGGCCCGCCGTTGAGTGGATTGACCTGTGCCATAGTAGCGCTGAGGACCGCGCCCTCTCACTTGGGCACCAACCAAGCCGATAAAGATGCTCAACGTGCAGTCGTAGCAAAATTCGAATTCTACCGCGAGCATCCGATGCATGCGGGTGTTGCACTCGAAATGTACGGCTTGGTTGGTTGTTCTGGCCGCAGTTTAGATCGCATGCCGCCCATGGACCAAGGAATGGTGTCGTTCATGGAAAAGTGCATTAACGAGGGCTACAGGGCATCGAATTGCAGTGATTGCACGCTGTGCATCGGTCATATCCCTGCTACCGATGTTAGCTCAACCTTGAGAGGGGCCGTTCGTAACAGATCAAAGTACCATTCCATGGTGTGTGGTGAAAATGCACGCAATGAATCGTTCCAGCACCCGAGTGATAATTTGGGCGTTTTCTGTGCGATTTTGCGCATTGTTGCGCCAAACCCTCAGCTGTCTCGCACCAATGTTGGCCATTCACTTGCAGATCGAGGTGGAATGCCCGATCCTGTGCCGAGGGCCACACACGAATCGATAAATGCCTTAGAAAGCAGAGACACACACGGATATAGCGAGTGTGGTGGGTGGGTAGCTGTGCATCAAGCTATCAACAGCGCCAATGATTTGTGCGATAAGGCATGCACTGCAGAAAGCGAAGCAGGAGGTGCTTTGGCGGGCCTCCACGCAGAGAAGCGGTCCTCAGGCGGCATCACAGGAGTTCCTTGCCTTTTAGCCACAGACAACGAGGAAGGTCCTGCGCACCACGGCAAAGAAAAAGACAAGGACTCAGACCATTCCTGTGGCAGTATGACTGGAAATAACAGCGATTCTGAGGATGGCTCTCCATCCCCTGCAGAATACACCGGTGTCTATGCTGATGATCCTCTTGCTGAAAAGAAACATAATCAGTGCCAGGATGACTGCACGACGAAACGATGCTCCGAACCAACACCGCATGCAACGTTTAACGGTACCGGTGCCGCAAGAGCTGCGCAGGTCAACAAAAATGGTGCGTTACGCCAGCGGCTAGGAGCAAGGAACACCCTTCGTGATGACTGCAGACCGCAGAATGTGGTCCGTTCAAACGCACAGGTGTTAAAGGAAAGGGTTGAAAGCACTCCACCGGTTCCTGGGCCGTGCGAGCACAGCACATCATACGAAGACTACGTGGTCAAAAACGGTCATCGCTTGCGAAAGGATGCCAATCCGCCTGTACCACGTAATAAAGGGAAATGCGACACGCTATCTCCAACAGAACATGGAGAAGTGATGGGCAATGAAAATGATGTACCGAGCCGTATCGGTCACGGGAATGGCACGGTAGGACGACATAGAAGCGATTTGCATGGCGTTGTTCCTGAAGATAAAACCGTTCGTAGAGCCGTGGGCTGCGATCCTCGTAAAATAACGAAAATTTTGAGCAGAGCATCGTGTAAAGAAATCGGTCCATGCGTAGCAAACGCTACGAGCGGTAACGAAGAGGACTGCCACCGCAATCCCAGCACAAATCATGCGCAGTGTAAACACCGACTGGTTTTGCGTGGTGCAGCCGTTGATCATGCCCAGAAAAGAAGTACCTGCCAGGATTTACCCATTACCGATTTAGAAGGACACGTACCGGACGAGAGCGGCAAAAGGGCACAAACCGTACACAAACGTTTACCCGTAGCAACATCCTGCGGCAGCCGTGCATCCGGTTCCAATCCAAGCAGAGATTCTCGGAGAGAAAGTGCGACTTTGCACGCAACTCGTGCACGATCGCGCTTCGGTACGGAATGCAGCTGCGATTACCATTTGAGTGGCCCTGAAAAACTTTCGTGCAGCTCAGGATTCAGTTATGGTAACGAAGAGGAGGCGCTCTGGCACTGCAACACGAGTAGCTGCTGGTGTCGCAATGAAGGATATCCCTGTACGGATGGAGGAGAGGCCTTTGTGCGGTGTAAGACGTGCAGCGATAAACGGTACGCACAACTTTTCTGTCCGTGTAACTTTGATGCGCAAGCGCACCGCTACAGCGGTTGCAATGAGCCCGAGGAAACGGAAAGATCGCAGAGCACTGCAGAACAAAGCGAGAACGGTAGTTCATTTGCACGGATGAGCGATAAACAAGGAAAAAATGATGAATCGTATGCACGAAGGAATGGTCTGTTCATGACTGTTCTTCTTGCGCTCATCACTTTCGTAGGTGCGTGTTTGTTAATTTCTATGATGTACTGGGTGTTGTAGGGCAAGGCTCAATAAACGCTGTTTTGCTCTTCAAACCGCTGTTCTGGTGGCAGTGCGTTAAACAAAATCTGCAAGTTTGGTCCGATGGGCAGAATGCAGGCCCATCCACAGGTTCACTCCGGGTGCGGTAACGTGTGTTACGAAACGCTTTATCGTGCAGTTCATTATTTGCAAAAGCTTCGAGCTGATGGACCGGACCAGAACGGCAAAACATGCCACGCAGCACAGTCTTAAGTATCGATCGCGCATCCTCGTACTAAATGGCGTGCAACCACGAATTGTACCTTGCGCCCCAAGTTTTGCTCAAAGCGCGTTTACCGCCGCAATTCCAACTTCATGAGCAGGTGAATTATTTCATCCCCATGATTTACGGCGAACTGATAATTGGTCTGCCGGGAAGTGGCAAGACAACGTACGTAAAATACAAAAAGGAGTACTTGGCGGGTAGAAACGTGTACACGGTTAATTTAGATCCTGGCAGATGGGAAAGAGACCTGCGTAACGATGGTGATGCAGCTGAACCTGGGCAAGGGGATCGGAATGGCCTGCAATACGGGTGCGAAACAAAATGCAATTCGGTGCCTCTCGACCTGCCACCGCCTCAAAAGAATTGTGCGGGTGAACGGTCCGAAGAAAAAAGTGCTGAAACGCGCACAGACCGTTTTAAGTTCGATTTTGATATTACGCAGAAATACGACACCAGAAAATACATGAAGCAGCGTGAGGTAGGACCGAATCTGGCAGTGAAGAGGATCATGGAGGAGTTCGTGGAGGATTACGAAAATTTGCGGAACATCTTTTGCGATGAGGACCGCTACTACCTTGTAGACACTCCCGGTCAGATAGAAAGCGTTTTTGTCCTTGACAAGTTGCTGTTGCGGTTGCAGAGGGATGGCATCAGGCTGGTGACCGTGTTTCTATCGGACATAAATTCGATGGCCAGCATCGAAAGCTTGTCATACACGTATTTTGTTACGATGCAAACGATGGTAACGCTCAATAATTCGCAGGTAAACGTTTTTACCAAGTTGGATCTTTTGGGCAGCATACGGCTGATCGGCAGATTAAGCAACCTTGTTGAGCTGAATCTCAGGGTTGGGGAGTACCCTCTGCTCTTCAGGGTGCTGTACAGTTTTATAGAGAGAGAGTCTCTCATTGAGTACCAGGTACTGGAGTATAGCGAGGACGTGCTGGGGTACCTGCAGTTCTGCATTGATCAAGCGAGTGGATTTGTCAACGAGATAGAGGATGAGAATGCGTTAACCGAGTATTTGAACGGTATTAAAGAGAAAGAAGACATACTGCGCGCGTACGAAGAGAAGGAAGAGCAGTTCGAAGAGAAGGAGGAGCAGTTCAAGCGTAGTGCCCGTTCTTAATGCTGTGCGTAGTGTTTGAACGCCGTTCACAGATCAATTTGATGTCTTGGTCATTCGAGCAGGTTACGTTGGGGACAAAAACACGGCTTGCCCGCAACGAAAGGTATTCACGATGCAGTTGAATTGTAATGTGGTTAATTAAATAAAATGCAGTGATAGGTCCTACAACTACCTTTTCTGAGTTGCGCTCTGAGATACCAAGGATAGCATATAAACACAACGGTTCGCTCATTCCAGCGCCATCGTGCCAGGGCAACCTATGGCAAAAAACTGGGAGCGCCTTCGTTCTGAACAGAATTTCCATCGCTTCAAGGACATGAATCAATAAAATTCAAATCAATGAAAGTATATTTTGGCACCTTGGTCAAGCTGCTGCACCAATGCTCAGCGGTACCGCAATGAAGAGAATGGTGGAAATAACTTGCCTCTGGTTTGAAGTGATTGGTCAGAGTTGCTGTTATTCGAGGATAACCGATCTAAAAATGAAGCATACGGCGTGCAGGTACATCCTACGGTGAACACTGTGTTTGTGATTGCACGGTCATTTTCAGAGCACCATACAAGCATTCTATGATTTGAGGCCGATCCCCCTCTCCGCGGTGAGCAATCGCAAAGTACTTTCTACGGAACATCGCGGTATGAAAACAAACGTATTTCACAGAAGTGATGAACACCCCTCAGATTGTTCGTCTCCGCTTGATCAATCAATCTACAGCACCTCAACAATCCTGCGTACCCCTTTTCTTGTTCCTATAAACTTCGTTGCATCTTCAATTCCAATTACATTCCTTTAACATGCTTTCATATTCCAGAAATATCACACACCTCAGAATGATTGGTGGTGATGAAGCAAAAACAAAAATAGAGCGCAGATTCGCACTATCAGTCATTATTGCCGTGTAAAGGGCACTCAATCGTAAATATGTGCCTTTTCACCGAATGCACGCTTAACTATTTTCACTAATCTTGCCATCCCTTCATGTCAACGCTTCCTAAAATATTCTCCTTAAACAGCAACAATCCGTGATATGGAAGGATCTATCAGAGTGGAACATGCACCTCTCGCGTCAACGGTAGATAGAACGCCTTCTTGCAGCAACTGCATCGGTAAAGTAAGAGCACGCTTTCTGATCGAGCAGCACTTTCTACGACTATCCGTACTTGCAATCGTTCAAAGGTAATTGCCGGTTCGGATAGGAACAGCACGGTTGGTATAACAGCCGATACACCATGCGCATCGTTTCGTTTGCTCGTTTTACCAACAAAGATGTATTTGATACCTTACGCAGCACTGCCTGAGCAAGTGCATTTTTGTTCTATTACGTATCTTTTTATGTCAGTGCTGTCCTGTCATATCCTGCCAATTGTTCTTTCATCTTCGTTTAAGCTCCTAAAAGAATAATTGAAGGTATTTTCCTAAAATAGTCTTTTTTTGCTCGCCTTCCACACATCAAAAGCTATCGAAAATAATTCGTTTTTTGCAATGGGATGGGAGTACCTGCGTGGTACCACAGGTTGCTGTGATATGCACGCAGATGAGAACCTTTTTATTATAACAGGGTCATAGACCGAGAAATCATAAATATGCGTTACAAAACATGGTTAGGCATCAGAGCAGGTCCTGCTTGTAATCACAGCACTGTTCACCATCCAGTCAGCGCTTCAAAAACGTTCTCAGCTTTTGAACGGAGGAACTGTTTCATCGCTGCTGCTACGGATGAAAGTGGAGGTATACTCATATAAAGAGTGCTGTGGCAATGATCAGCATGAGACAGGGGAGCATGTCCTGAGCAGCACGGACAGGCAAACTTATTGTTTCGTTAGAATATTCTGTCGTCTTTTCTTGATGAGCTGTAGTACACCTCACATCGACTCTCCCTACCATGGCCTGAACGGCCTCTGATTCGCAAGCATGTGTTCAACGAGCAAAATACCGCTCATGAGAGTGTCATGGACCGCTTGTGCACGCAAATTAACGCGCAATCATTTCTCACCAATTTGCACTTCACTAATCATTCGCAGCAACGTTCCGGTGCACCAATCGCTTCTCACGTCACAATTTAAGCTTTTGTTGCACAACAAACACTAATCATGGCGCAAAGAATAAATGAGACAATAACAGAACTCTGATTGCAACCACGTGATAGGTTAATGACCCGTTGATCAGAGGTTATGTCCTGTAAATGAACGTGTCAGCAAATTCGTTCCTTTTTTATTTTATGTATATAAAGAAGACGAAACGAGAATTTATGGCTGACAAAAAGAAAACAATCATCGTAGGATGTGTTGTGGTGGTAGCGGTAGTTATTCTTATTTTACTAGGCTTTTGGTTCTTTGGATCATCGGATGATAGCGGCAAGGGTAGCAGCTGGTCATCGATGTTCGGTAGCAGCAGTGATGATAAGAAGGCAGGAACAAGCCCAAAGAAGTAGTAGCTTTCCTTTTTCTCAGTACTAAAACGTTTTGAACATTTTTTTAAAAACGGTTTCTTGTCCGTGCGGACCACGATGTGGCACAAAATGAACGGTTCAAGGGATGTGATGCATACTAAACGAGCCTTACGTATCGCTTCGGAATCTGTTTACGTAAAAAATGCATCAGGTCTTGGTTTTGCCAGTAGCAAGCCGTTCATTACCCCTTCATTCTGCTCTAGGAAGGTATTTCGGTGCCACTAAGTGCTCATCACCTATCTCTTCGTCTATGAACGGTGCCACTAAGTGCTCCTCACCCATCTCCTCGCCAAGCAAACCAAAAATTCGCTACATTGTGGTAACGGGTGCATACGGTAACCACGAACAATGCGGTGCTAACCACTTTAATCGCTCTAACAGGTTCTTGTCCATGCAAGAACGGTATTTACCGCGTGGTGTGCCTGGTGCAAAAAAATGCTAGCACCCGAAATGTTTGCAGTTCAGGTGTTGCGGTGTGGGGAGATAAATACGAATCATAGTAAAAGTAAAATCTGGAATGGACGTGCATCAGCACGGCAATGGACCGTAAATGGGAGGTACACCCGAATAGTCCTGGCCTGCATCGCTGTGAGCTCACACCTGCACGGGGTTGTAATGCGCAGTAAAATATGTATGCCAAAAAATGAGAGCCCTTATGTTTTTGTTTGTTCAGCTTTTGGGTGCCTCAATCTTAGAAAACCTGGTGCTTGACGGTAAAATACACGAAGCGTACGAGAACATCTCGCAGGCAAGTGATCCATCCGATCTTATCTACGTTTACTTCTTGAAACTCCTGCACCGGGAGGAGGATGCAAATTTTTATCTGATGGCAGCCGAGAACTACTCCCCGTTCTTTCAGCACATTTATGCACACAAAGCATTTTTCAACTTTGAAATAGCAGCACCTGTTTCTGAGCTTGCGGGTGTTTATTCAAAGGTGGCGAAGGGCATTGTAACGAAGTACCTGACGAACCGTTTTCAGTTCCGTGACAAGATGAAGTTTGAGAAGATACAGGACATACCACCGGTAAATTATCTGATCAACTTGATCACCAGCGGGGACAAGAAAGCTGAGGAGACATACATAAACCTGGTGCTTGCCGGGCAGATTGACCCGAGAAACGAAATACAAAATTTGAAGAGGCTGTGCGAGACGGGCAATGCAAAGGCGATGACCATTCTTGGCAATCTCTACCTCGAGGGATACGGTGTGCAAAAATGCCTGAGCACGGCGATGCATTATTTCAGGCAGGGTGCTGCCAACGGCGATCCGCTCTCCTACAACGGCCTGGGGAAGATTTTCATGAAGGAGGGCCACAAGGATCTGAATCTTGCTAAGAAGTACTTCGAGGAGGCGGCATCTCGGGGAAGTGCCGAGGGCGACTACAATCTTTTCATGTTCGTACGCAACATTTACAAAATTGAGGACATGGGTCTCTCCTATCTTCTCCGTTCGGTAAAGCGTTCCTACATGCCGGCGCTGTTCTCGTACGCCAAGCGTCTTCTGACCAATGGAGAGACCGCTGCTGCGGTCTCTCACATGGTGCCTATCTGTGACTTTGACGAGTGCATTGTTGAGCTGCAGAACCGTGCACAGAAGGACTACCAGGATGGACAGTATGTACCATGCCTGTATAAGCTGCTCTTCCTGTGCGAAACAGGCAGTCTCAACAGCATGAGTAATCTCCTCTACCTTCTTAAGACACGCAAGGATCTTGTGCCTGAACAGGACACGCTATTCCACACATATTGCAGCAAACTTGCACAGATGGGCCAAGTACACCACCTCGTAGATCTTGCAGACACGTACTTCTACGGCAAGGGCACCGAGCAATCGTACACCAAGGCGTTCTCCTTCTACTACTCTGCCATGCTCTACAAATCCGCACGTGGCAGTTACGCACTCTCATACATGTACGAAAACGGGCTGGGCTGCACGAGGAGTATCACTGATGCGATGAGCATGCTGTACAAGGCGTACGCCTACGATGAGAACACGTACCTGTTGGTGTGGTACACGATGATAAAAATATATTTGGTCGTTATGACCAGGATAGCGTACTCCGTGCGGTGGCTCATCGGGTGTGCATTAGGCGCGCTGCTTGGATACCTTTTCATTTTTAAGCGTAGGATGCATAAATAAAGATTGTGAGTTTGGTATTAATTGCCGTGGTACTGCAAGTTACAATGCAGCTAATACCGTTCTGTTGGACTGTATGCGCCTTGTCAGGGCAAATCGTATGATTAACATTTTTTACGCTTTCTAGCCTCCTTATCGTGGCACAGCGCCGAGTCCTGAACCATACCGCAGCAGCCGAGTGTTACAAGCAAGCATCCCTGCAATAAATGAAGTATTCTACGTGTAAATGCTTAACCTGTCACAGAATGAATGCGTAGTTTGCGAGTAGTTCTATCAGTCCGTGTATCACCTGCACCATTCCTATCAGTGTTCTATCATCTTACACAATCATTTAATCACCTGCTATACCTTAGTACGACACTACTCACCTATCACATCATTAACACTGCCTACCCTCCCCATACGGGCACATCTTCTCTTCTTTGCCTGTTTCTCTCTAATCAGTGCTTAGCCACGCTTGTCAGTGCAAACCAAATGTTCTTTTTTCTTGAGCTGCACATCCCGCACCTTTTTAAAAAGATTTAAATTTACCCCTCGAGCAATGGATTTCGGCAAATTACTTTATTCTCTCTTCCGATTCACAGGTGATATCGTACATCTGTACACCATGATCATTCTGTTCAAGAAAATACGTGAGACCAAGTCGGTGAGTGGCCTTAGCCTGAAAACGCAGTTTTTGTATCTCGTCGTGTTTATGGCGCGGTACTTAGATCTGTTCCATTTTTGGTTCAGCTCCCTTCTTGATGTGTACAATTTCATAATGAAGGTCGTTTACATTTCCTTGCAATCTCTGCTCATCTACATGATACGTTACAAGTACTTCTACTCATATGATGTGTTCTTGGACACCTTCAATGTGTACAACCTTGTGGTGCCGTGTGCCGTGCTCTCGGTGTTTCTCAAGACGAGCACGTACGGTCTGACAGACTACTTCGTTGAGTTCCTGTATACCTTCTCGATTCTGCTGGAGAGTGTTGCCATTCTTCCACAGCTTATACAGCTGCAGGAGAGCGGAGAGGCCGAGACCCTTACCTCACAGTATATTTTCTTCCTCGGTCTGTACAGACTGTTCTATGTCATGAACTGGATCGTTAAACTGTGCTTTGGTTTCCGTGTTAATCACCTGCTCCTTGCCACGGGTGTAATACAAACCCTGCTCTACGCAGATTTCTTCGTTATTTATTACAAATACGTCTTCATGAAGAAGGGAAATGAGCGGCTACCAAAGACAAGTAAGTAAAGCATTTTAAGAATTTTGCAGTGTTACGTGGTTATGATCAGATATTGTGTTGGTTATGGCACTTTGCCGCATATTTGGTCGTTACAGATCGTAGAACTTGATCAGTGTGCGTGCAATGCGGCCCATAGTATTTGTCCTTGCGTGTTAGTTATGTGCACCAGAGATCTTTATGAATTACCTCGTCTTCACGCATCGATAGGTTCGCCTGTGCTACGTCATGTTTATGCATTTTCATCCGCTTTTATACTTGTTATTTTCATGCGATGCATAGATAATATTAAAATCAAAATTACTAAACGGCATCTTTGCATTGTTTATGTTTGATAACTGTGCAGGGAAAAGTTCGATCGCATGTTAAAAACCTGCTTGCATGGCATAAAAAGGCTAATCGACAAATTCATTGCCTAACGCAGAAACACATCCAAAATTATGAATCTGCATATTCAAATCAGGCATGTATTGCTGAGATAAAACTATTTTTTACTGAGAGCACGTTTAATTATCTTTTGCAACACCGAAAACACACTTTTCTGAACCGGCCGTAGCAGCCGATCTTCGGTCCACAAAGGATACGTGTGCGTCATCTCGCACAACTTCTTTGACCCGATAGAAAGACATGCTGCAACCGCAGCACTGACCCTAACACGCAAGCTGTGCTTTTGCGCCTCCAGAAGTACCCGAGAAACTCTTCTTCTCGAGATTTGTATATAAATGCAGTACATTCGACAAAGGAAACGTATTTGATGATCGGTCTACCATAGGCTCTTCTAAAGAAGACGCCGTGCGGTTTCATTTCCATCCTTCTCATAGAACAAATATTTTCTCTGTACATCGGGATTAGAGGGTTGTATCTGTCAGGCGGCAGGCATAAATGAATGCGCATTTTGATCAAAATGCCCATTAATTGCAACAATAGCAAAAACAATTTTTTAAAATTGTTTATACCACATTTTTATCTGTGCATACAGCTGTTCTGTTGCTGTGATGAAACATAAAAATGCAATATTTTCTGTTCTGGTGCGTAAAAAGCATTCTGTACAGCATTCACGAGCACATCGGTCTAACAGCACCTTTTTCTTCTTCTAGCCATCTTACTTTGATTACCACTTTGTTATTTCACAGCGATTTCCTTACCTCATTCCCCTCTTCCAATTTTTCTCTTCTTTACCCCTTCCTTCTTCATCCCTTCCTTCTTCATCCCTTCTTGCCAAAAACCCTCTTCCTCCCAACCTTAACCTCATCAAATCTCTAAACACCACCACTCCCTATTCCTTTTCTACCATCCTCCTGCTAAAACAAAGCAACTCATCAGTCACCATCCCATTATCCTCTCTGCTTCTTCTCCATTCCATCATCTCTGCATATTCCTTGGCCCCTCTTCTCAGTCTGTTGGTACATCTTCCATCGATAAAAAACGGCGGCATGTTTTTCATACCCTTGTGCTCTTTTACCGTGTCAAACACCGTGCCTGTATCGCACACGTCCCTGTCTCCCTGCTCATCCTTCCTGTCCTTCTCCTCCTCGATTCTTTGCTTGCACTGCTTTATAAAGTTGTGAAGCACTTCAGATACTCCGTTACTATTCCTTGTCTTTTTAAACACCTTGTTCTCTTCAACACATTCCTCTACCACTTCGTCTTTTTCGTCCGGCATGATACGCAGCTGTTCAAGCAGATTAAGCGCTGTTTGATTGCGCTCACACGTCTTTCTCTGTGCTTGAAGGTAACTCACCAGTTCGCTCCGCTCTCTATCGCACAGGTTAGCGAATAAATGCTTTTTAGTGAGAAATGGACGGTCAAAAGATCTTTTGGTAAGATACCCTATGTAGTAGGCGAGAAGATGCGTGAGCGTGGAAAGTGCCATTGAGGTTGCTTTTTCAAAACCGGATTGAATGAGGATCTCCGAGAGGCACAGTTTTAAGATTTGGGTGTGGAAGTTGTTTTTCATCGGCAGGGGGTAGGATTAACGAAAAAAAAGAAATGAATGGCCCGGTCTTTCTTCGTGAATGCCATGGCACGAACATGATGCCTTCTTAGTATCAAAGTAGCTGTGCATAACACCGGTTCCTTGACGTGAGTGCCATGGCATAGGCTATAAAAGGAGCACAGCGGTGCAGTCGCGCTCGTCCCACAGAGCATTAGTTGGCATCGCAACCGCATAATCCCAGCCAAGCACATCCAAATAAATGACCTGCAATGCTTCCACGTGCTGTAACTACGCCCTATACACCGCAACTCCTGAACTTAATTTAGTCATACAGCAGCTGTGCAGCTGACCACAAACAAACCGTAACTCACAATAACGACAAGAAAGGCTCAGCACGGTTTTAGAACAGCTCAAATGCACCACAGAACCATTTTGTTGAATTGCTCCTGGTAAAAACTCCCAATCTAAAATTTTAACTAAAACAATGGCATGATAAGCATCGTACGCCACCCTCCAAGGGTGGTGCAACCGCTCTGAGTCATAGATTACTTAAATTCATACTCTACTCTCCACTGGCATACCCCACCAAGGATGTGCTTTCTTACACTGTCTGTACTATCACCACACAGCATGCATGTCTTTTCTTTGGCGTACCTTCCTTTACAGGGGTGCAAGTTGAGGCTCTTCGGGTAGGTAAAGCAGTTTAAGCAAAAACTGTCCACAAACGGATTGTAAAACTCGCGGAATATCGAAAGAAACGCAACAAATATTCTGAGCTCGCTGTACTTAACATCAAGTACGATCTCATTGTGTTCCTTTAAACAATGCTTTTTTACCAGGCTGCACGACTTGTACGCTAAATTGCACCGTGTGCAGTTAAAGAAGTTCGCCCGTTTCAAATGTGATATCATGTGTATTTTAAGGGTGCTCAGCCGCTTAAAATAAAATTTGCAACGTATGCATTGAAATGCTCCACTGCAAACGGCCATGACCTGGTCCATGGAGAAGGGAGAGCTATGATAGGGATCCTTGGATAAAGAACTGTACTCAAGAAAGGAATCTTCACCGGTGTGCACTCCTCTGTAAGACTCGTACTCTCCGTTGCGCATGCCATCGTACTCCTCGCTGTGACTGAGGTCAGACGCACATCTCGCTCTGCCCATGTATCCTGCACCATGCACACGGTCGACACTATTTCCATGGTCTGACCTGCGGTTTTGGCATGGATCACAGTCTCCCTCGGTATGTGCTACGCTATCGCCCATCTCCTCCCTTGTTTTGTACAGCTCATTGTTAACCGAGAATTTGGGCGTGTCGTCGTTCAGGTAACGATAAAGAGTCTCCTTCCCACGCGAAGAGTGCCCACCGCTTTTGGCCGTACTCCTAGGCGTGCGTGTGTATGTGCTGCTTGAAGACGGTTCCCTTGAGCGTGCAGGGTATAACGAGTCTCTATTCGAACGAGCGGATAAAACCCTTCCATGCACATTCTCAGACTGTGTTCTAAAATCGTTGCTGCCCAAAGAATCGGCATCTTCACAGTAGTAGCTCGTTGAGTGATTCTCAGACGGTCGACCATCCACTTCATAACTGTGATTACGACAGGCACATTCATACGAATTTGTGACATGGTCCTTCGTATTGCATGGCCGCTGTTCACCGATTCGATACCCTGCACCATGGGGCTCTTCTTTGCTGAATGAGCGCTCCGTGGAGCGATAAGTTGGAGAACCATTTTCTACGTTTCTGTGCAACGAGTCCTTACCTCGTAGATAATACTGCTCGTTAGAAGGACATTGTTCACGGTACGGGCTACCTTTCTCTGCGATGTCTCCTTTGTCGGAGCACCGTTCGTGGTACATATCGAGTGTGCCTCTGTCCGGTCTATCCTCTTCTTCGTACAGTCCATACCTCTCATAATCTGAACATGCACCTTCCCTGCCAACATGCCCGCTTCGTTTCCTGTGATTGAACTCTTTTCCATTTTCAAAGGGTGAATGAGCCATGTATCCCGTTTCACAGCCATTCCGAGACATAAATCGATTCTTATCAGCATCCTCGTAATTGATGGTGTCATTTCTTATCGTCCGATCAGCAACCACGTATTTAGAACCGCAGCCCTTCCCTCTAGCACTCTCCCCAGAACCTCTCGCACAATCACACCTCATGTCATTATCGTAATTGTAGCAGCCGTAGTATGCGCTGTAACCACCTTTGTACCTCTCCGCATAGCGTGCAACTGCATCGCTTCGCCGGTACCATTTGTCTCTAAACTTCTTGTCTGGACCGTGCCTGTTCTCATCTTCAGCGTGTTCTTTTCTCACCGCGTATGTGACACACGAACCGTTGTTCCACATTTTCTTTTTTCTTCCCCTTCTTGATACCATTTTATTGCTCTTCAGTCGGACCGAAGACTTTTTGGTCTTTCTCTTCTCTTTTCCTTTTTTAGCAATTTATTCGTAATCACCAGCATTCTCGCTGTTGATTCCACCTCCCATATTCGTGCTTTGGTGCTTGTTTGCATGATTGTAGCAGGCTGACATCAAATTGTTGTTAGCACCCCTCCGGCCGCGTTTTAAATAAATGAGTGATTCTTCATGTTTTTGTAGATATGAATTCCTTGTACACATCGTAAAGGCCACATGACAGAACTTTGCGCAGAGTGACACGATAAATATGTCTAAGTGATGATAAGTGGCGTTGCATGCCGTTGTTCTGTGACATGCACGAATATTTATATCTTTGAAAAGCTTTTCCATTTATGCATAATACTTAGAATGGATATAAATAAGCTTATTTTTTCATGCTAAACGCCTTGTACAGCAATATATCGGAACAGAGCAGATCATGTTAATCTTAATGGACTGATAAAGCGCAACATAAAAGTGATTGAACGGTTTTATGATCAAGATCGGAAGATTGTGTTGTGTAAAGAACCTGGTTTAATACTTACGAATGCTTGTTATACACTAGCGCTAAAATTGTTGGTCGCAAAAAAAAGAGTAATTCGCATAAACCGTGAAAATGCAGCATAGGCACGTTCCACCATCAGGATGAGCATGTATGGCAACGTACGAAGCAGAAAGTTTTTTATGGATCAGCATTGTTATCGTGTGTTACTCGCTTACGCACGAACCATCAACACGCTCTGATAGCGATGCCGATAGTGAAAGCATGAATAAACGTGGTTTTGACAAGGAAAATGAGCATTTAGAAATGGTAGGATCAAAAAGGAAAAATGGTAAGTCGCAACACTTTTCCTTTTATGCTTTGCTTTTATGTTTTCCTTTTATGTTTTCCTTTTATGTTTTCCTTTTATGTTTTCCTTTTATGTTTTCCTTTTATGTTTTCCTTTTATGTTTTACATTTTTATTTAACCTTCCCCCCTCCGGCCCTGCCCCTTTTCACCCCGTATTTCTATTTTGCTCGTTCTCCTTCATTTCCATCCTTGTTCACATTTCATGCACCACGCTCGTACCCTCGCACTCATATTTTACATACGGTACAGCGCACCTATCATGGTCCTACCATATTATCACAGTGCACCCTAAGCATCAGCACCTCTCACAGTTTTCGTTCTTTTTGAAAATAAAGGCATTTAATAATTATTAAACGCATGAATGAGCAGCACGCTACGGACGAATGCTTTTGCTCGTTGTACAGGCCGCTTGAGATGAGCGTGTCATGCTTTGCTTGCCACCCGGCGATGCACCGGAAAGAGCGTACCAAGCATTAAGCGGTATTCTCACGTTTCATGGCGTAGATACGTCTTGTAAACGATGGGAGTGCTCAGACAGAGCATAGCACGCTCGCCAGGTCGCTCCCAAATGCAATCGATGCACGGCACGAGTTGCTCCTCAGCGTGCTGTTCTACCGCTTATGCGTAGAGCACTTGCTAAATATCATTTTTAGAGTGCATCACGCATAAAAACGTAAATTTTAGTTAGAACGTATTCTGTGCCTTGATCACCGAAAAGAGACTTAAATGCGGATTAGCAGCGGAGCGAGCGCATTCATTCGAAAATGATACGTCTATCAATTCTCTGTATGACACCTTGATGATCGCCCATTCGAACAATTTAAGTGTGTCAAGGGTTTTCGTAATGAATGCCCTGTTGTACGATGAATACGTTCTTCTAGAACGTATTTCCGCAGTTATTTATTCATGCTGCGCATAAAAATACACTTGTCTGTTCATGCGCCCATCAATTGTTTGCTTTAAGACAAACGAGCAGTCTGCCCTTTCCTGCTCTCAGAAAGTATAAACGTGCTCGTGGGCTATTCATAGCATGCAAAAAGCACCAAGGAACGGTTCAGTGGCGGTAAAAAGGACAAGGCGTGGCAACACCGGTGACCGAACAATACGAGTGGTGATTGGCAGGAAGAGGTGTTAAAACACAACGTAACAACACCAGTGATTGAGGGCAGTAGCAAAGCATTACGTGTAAACTAGGAATTGTGAGCAGGGCATGGTAATACCGGTAAAATAACCCTGCCAAGTTGCAGAACAAGCCTCACGCTGTGGCAAGCACCCGCACTGCTAGGCAAAGCAAAGAGCCCACCGAAATAAAAGAAAGAAGCACTTTTAATGCGCATGAATGCTTCAAACACCCATCCCACCAGAACAAGAACAGCAATGCATTGCTATTCGTAGTTTACACCACTACGCCCTCAGATCAGCACCGTGAAAATTCTTAATTGAGGGCTGTACGTACGTAATTGAATGGTAGGAACAGTCATGTTTAGGGGTGCTCTGCTCACGTACCTGTGACTAACCCTTCACAATGAATGATCAACCGTTCAAAACGAGTAGCAGATTATTTTCGTATGTTGATGGTCAGGTGATCCCATGGTATGATCAACATCCATTCAAACACCGTGCTACTCCTCGTATACACCCTTTCCATTCAGTTCACCATCCTTTTCTTAGCGCGCACCACCCAATAAACAACAAAAACACTCGTACTAGCCCTTACTCCGCTCATCACAAGCATTAACAGTACCAAAAAATATTTTATGTTCAATTCATGCATCCTGTTGAGGAAAAGAAGCGTACAAACGGCGAATAATGCATTGTTAAGGGTAAGTAAATTGTTATGGCGGAGAACGAGCAGTAAAACGGTTGAAAGTACGAATAAGGGGGCGTAACGGGTGCACTGCTTGGTTGTTATTAAGTGTTTATGCAATGCATGAAGAATGGAGCAATGCTTTACGAGGAGCGCTTTGCCGATAGAATGGCTTTTCTTACCAAATATGTGCGGTGCGCTGTCATTGGCACAGCCACCCTCATCACGTACGTATGATGCGCTGTCAATGGCAGTAAAGAAGCCATCAATGCTGCCTCCATGTCCAAATACTTCGTACTCATCGGCGCTTTCCTGCTCTGAAAAGGAAAGGGCAGTGCTGCACTCTTCTGCGGCTGTGTCGGTAACGCGATCAGCGGCACTTCCTGTCTGTTCACCGGTGTAGGTGCTACCGTACCAATTGCTATGCCCCGCATGATTAAACGTTCTAGCGGTTCGTTGCTTAATGCATTGCATTAATGCATAAACAAACCTTATTTTGGCCATAAATTGCCCTTTAAAATCATTATTCTTGATTTCATGCATGATGAAATCAATCATGCTTAAATTGCAGAAATTAAGGCAGTTTTGCTCGAAGAGCAGAAGACATACGAAATTGGCAGAGCACCTCAACCACGTGCTATCAATGGCGAAGAGCACCACGTTGTAAATAGCGTTGTTGACTACGCTCGTGTACGCGTTGATGATCAGCGCATTGAGCACATCGATGGAGAGAACGAGCAGTACACCGCTGCTACGCACGATCAATGACCCCAGCACGTACGATAGCACGTGCTTTACGGATGGGGCGAGTGCCATGCCGCTAAAAATATTTGTGCGCTGAACCATGCCCGGTACCTTTGAATGCAGCAAAACGAAAAGAACGAGCTGGCCAACGAAATAGGGCAAGTGTAAAACGTAAAGGGCATCAACGATGTCATCCCTTAGGTTGTAAATCACGGTGCAGCAGAACGTATTGTTGCTCTTTCCTGCCAGTGTTTTGTGAATTAGATCATTTATGCTGTACATGAATTTATGCACTCGACTCTCCTTTTGTTTTACCTTGCACCTCTCCTTCACGGTACGGCTCCTTTTCCTGGTGCTTTTACGCTCCTCATCGTTTCTTTTTCCCATCACAGGTCCGTTGTCTTTTCTATTTTTACGTTTTATTTTTTTGCTGCTCTTTCCCTCATCGCACGTTTCTATCTCTCCTTTAGAACTGCTGCTGCATTCGTTGTTCATTTCTCTTTTCATTTTACGCCCATCTCCCTCACACTCCACCCTACGCCCCTTAGAACAAAACAACGCCCCGTAATCCCTAACAAACGTGTACAACACGTACACCACAGTCCCTACCATTCCCTTGCACCATCTCCTACCGCTCTCTCCCCTCCCCAACACGCACAAGTACTCGTTCTGCAAATACCGGTCCTTACCAATTCTTTCCAGCCGTACGCAGTGCACCGCTAATTTTACCAGCAGGGACGTAACGATGAAGTACCGCAGTGCTACGCACGGCAGAAGAACCACGTGCACGATCAAGTGGTAGGTGATGAACAGGGCAATACGTGCAAAACAGCGAAGTGCGCTATAAAAGTGCACCAGCACCGTAGAACTACGTGCCACGGCGTGCTGCCCGTTCCCTTTTTGTTCATGCTCGGTGTTAATGCACCGCATCTTTTCATCTTTTCCTGCACTGCCCTTATTTTCATCTTCGTTGTGATCATCCGCATTAATCGGTGCTCCCCGCTCCCTGCTATCGCAGCTCATCAGCGCTTTCTCCTCACCACAATCACCCGCTGTGCCATTCATGCTCTCCACATTTTTGTGCTCATCTTCTCTTTCCGGCTCATTCGTTCTAAAATTTTTTATACGTTTATGCTTAACTTCCATTTTAAGGGGGCAAAGCCTAATTTTTTAAAAATGAGTGCAACCACGCATTAACAACGAAAATGGTTCGAGATGTGCGTAGTGCCACGCATGTTGATGAGAAGGTGCAGTGAGGCGTTAAACGAAAGTAACTTGAACGGATTATCCGTATGGAGGTATTTAGACGGGGTTAGTGGTATGGAGGTGTTTAAATAATACGTTCTAATAATCTAGCCCGGTGCATCTCAGCCATACACGTAGGTGAGCACCAAATATTTACGCTAGGAACGGTTAAAATTTGGTGTAACTGCTCGCTACGCATCACTGCAAGAATTACTGCTCTAATGCATGGACTCAATCACTAGACACTACGAGGACGGGCTGAAGCAGAATGGTAAAACGTAAGGTTCATAAAGATGTAAGAGCTGTGGTTTGGATTAGAGAAGAAGATGGCAGATTAGTTAGAAATAGCCGTTCAAAACAGCTAAATTGGTATTTCGTACCTATACATGAGAAAAAAGAGAAAAGTTGGTACTTTTTTGTTCTCCAGAACGATAGCGGTTTCACAACCGGTGCATAAAGCTACAATTTAAACAGCAATTTGGTGCTTACCAGAAATGCAGAACAGGGAAGAGCAACCGGAAGCAGAGTAGAATGGCGGTTCTAAACAAAGAACAAGTTTTGCTAAATTGGTAACAAATCGTGTGCGTTGTTATGAAAAGAGGTAGAACTTGGATGGTTCAGGAGCGGTTAACACGCACCGTTTCTGGGCTTGAATCTACCGTGTAGGGAAGGCTTGCTTGGTACGTGCCTGGTGGATAGGATCACACAGCAATGGCAAGTTGTTGTTCCGTATGAGTGCTGTGGAAGTGTTTGACCGCGGTAGTTGCGTGGCCCGCTTGGTGTTGAACTGCTGCTCAAAATGAAAAGCAGCGTTGTAGCACGCGTTGAGCAGCGAAGTAAATGCGTGCTTTTCATTTTGAGCAGCAGTTCAACACCAAGCAGTACGTTCTGAGAGAGCCGTGGACCGTTCCTACCTGTGCTGGGATTGCAATTGCAAGCGTATTTGAAGAGACGAGCACGCACTGCGGTGTTAGACAATGCCGTGGAGGAAGAATTGCTAGTAATGGCAATTGATGAAGAGGTAAAAGCAATAAAACATGTAAAAAATTGCTGTGCAAGGTAAATCAACAAAATGAACCGAGGAGTACCGTATCAGTGCAGCGGTACCAGAGGAGTTTCTCAAAAGTTGGAAATAATCTGACTGTGCTGTTTAAGCAGCCTTTCGTGTTTTACACGGTTCTCAACTGCTCAGCCGTTGCAAAAGGCAATTCAAAGGAGCAGCTAAGCATTTGCAACTGATCAGCTGTTATTCCCTTTCTATCCACTCCACACGAATGCCTGGGCACAAATCCTTACATTGTAAGAATACCGTGGGCCTAATCACCATAAATTACCCTTTTTTCTACAAATTGAAGTGTTCTGCAATCGCTACTTACGTTTTGGTGCAAAAATTTTAATGTGAAGCGGCAAGGAGAATGAAAAGCTGATCAGCGCTTTTAAAACCTCTTCATCGGTAACTGCCAAGCAAATTTATACGCAATACTTCTTTGGCTCTACTCCAACTGATGATGGGTGAAGAAATGCACAGCATGATACGTTACGAACAAGGGATGCACTGCCACACCTGCTTGCACTCGCTATTTCCCTTTTTGTGCAATTACCTCGTTCAATCATTTGCCATATTTTTCATTTTTTTGCTTTATAATACGAAGAGCTGAATCATCGGCAGAAGTTTGTTATTTGCTATGTTCTTCGTATCCGTGCTCGTTTTTTGGAGCAGGTGCAGGCCGTTTAAAAGGATGCTTTATTACGGTATAATGCGGATAGGTTGGTGTTGTAGATGCCGGCATTGAGTTCGCTCTGCTTTTATACCAGGTAAGGTGCTTGGTCGTTCTTTGTGGTCTACAACCGTGTCATTAAAGATTATAAAACGTATTTTGATGTGCTTATTGCGCGATATTACCGGAAAGAACTTTGCACAAAATGAGAGGTGGCAGACGAAGGAGCTGTTAAAAGGTATGCCTGTGCGATTACAATTTGTACAAACTGCTGCGAGTTTATCGTGTAACCAACAGGCTTTCCATCGGTTATCAATACATACACTTTTGGAAAGACTGCCATTTTGATATAAATACAGCAAAAGATGAGCTGCCATGAAATTAATGTTTTTTGTTGGATTTGCTTGCGTGTCTGGTACGGCTTTTGCGTATAATTCGAGGAAAGAGGCTAAAATAGGTACAAAATTCACCATAAGGCGTGGCAGTGCAGAAGACCTAAAAATGCAGGAGAAAATAGGAAGAAAGCGACTGGGAGACCTGGCCGAACAGCTGCTCGAGAAGTTGTTTAAATTCAGCTGGCAAATCAAACCAATATGCCAGCAGGTAAGAGACATGTTCATTGCTGAACATCAAGGTTCTACCAGACATAGACCACGAGCATACTACGCAAGACCAGATTCAACGCACATCACGAAGTACCTGTTTGAGAAGGGGAAAAGCGATCGAGAAGCACTCACAGAGAGCATCGAAAATGCAGTTAAAAATATCTGTAATCCTAAAACGTACTACATAACGATAGACGGCAATGAATACGTCAATTATTGCTATCCATTACCTCGCATTGATTATGTGAAAGGCTTCAAACTCGATCACAAACTGGTTACCGAGGAAATAAGGGATTACGCGATATTTACACGTACATTTGCATTGACGATGCTTATAGGCGGTATGGTAAGTGATGAATCATTGTTGGCACAGCTCTCCGAGTACGAGCTTGAGATCAAGGATTTGGTTAATCAAATGGCACAGGATCGATCATCAGATTGTGAGATTTTCGTGTCTGAAAAAATGTTTGATTCATGTTACTTATCATACAGTTGGATACTGGAGATTTTCGACAGTATGCGCTCCTTGTGTTCCAGCGAAAACAGTCGATTAAAAGCCTTTATCGGTAAAATCAGATCAACAGAAACTACCGACAAAGAATTGCTGGGCTTGCTCTGCGTTGACGTTGAAATGAACAGGCCCAGGGTTAAGGAAGTTCTTGCCAAACTTCGGAATGAACACGGCGTGACTGCACAATAGCAACCGATACACCCGGATCAATGCAGCAATTGCTCCGACAGAAAATCTGTTTCGTTAATTTCTATGCCTGGCGCACCACCCCAACCACAGAACAACACGTGCTACGTGTATTTACACCAAGTAGAAGTAATTAAACGGTTCAACGTGAAGTTCAGCTGGGCAGTTGCTACTCTTATGTATCAGCTAGTACGTAATATTCCACTCTTTGTGCTAAAAACACGCCCATTTGCTGTGTCGCATGCAATATCTCAGAGCAAATGCACTTTTTTCGTTGTGAATGATTTTTTCATCTGTTTCGCTTTATAGAAATGCTCCATGTACAAAATCGCACGAACACAGTACGATGTATTGCAATTTTGCAGTGGACCAGACAGGCTAACCTTAATTTGTGCGATGCCTCTTTTCTCAGCAACAACCTAAGGAATCTGCTCGGAGCTTTCTAAAATAAGGATTTCTACAAGCTAGCACGGGTAGCGTATTTTGGATAGTTTTGAGCGGCTATGGAAATGTTGCAGTTTGGTGCTGCAGACCAAATTGAGCTGAGCGTATTCAGTCCGTTTAATGTGTCCTCTGCATCGCCATGGATGCATTCATAAATTAAGCAATGAATTGCTGATTTGATTCCTTGGGAAAACCTGTTTTCTAAGATTAGCAAAAAAATGGCTAGTAATAAATACCTTAAGATTTGGCACAGGAGCATTTGCAAAATACGATTGGTATGTAAAATATTATCTGTGTGATGATTTTGGTGCACACTAGCAAATGCTATGCATGTTTCCTCAACCAAATCAAAAATTACCGTAAAAATTTTTTCTCCTAATACTTTTTCACAAAAAGTTTTCCTCTAAAAAAACAAAAATGTTTAGATTTTCATCAGACGAGCGGGCATCGTAATGATGGATGGAAGCTCTAGCTAACAGACTTTATGGCAGATCATTAAATGAAAAGACAACTCGAAGGCTGATTGGTCAATTCTGAAAAGTAAATTATTTGACCTTTCGAGAAAAATAAAAAATCTTTGTTTCACGTATTTGCACTGCATGAAGAGTCTAAAGTTGTTGTACAACTCATTCTTTCTGAGATGCACTTAGTCATCATTTACAAACAATATTTTCACTCCATTTTTATTTATTCAACCCCTATCATTATTTGGTTGGCTGTTTTTATGAACACCACCACGTCCTCCAATCAAAATGCATGAAATAAATAACATATCTGCACTTTTAACTTTTGTTTGATGTCCTCAACATTGTAACAAATTATGATAGCATTCACAGTATATTTAGATGATTTACCAGAAAAAGAATAAAATACAAAGAAATGGATGTAAAAGTGAGTTTTTGGTCAATGTAACAGAACATAACATCACAATCAAATTGACAATTTGGTTAACATTTTATATGTTCTTATTTTCTTATCATTGACTAACATTCATTTTTCTGGAAGAAATAAAACTATAAATAAGTTGAGAAGTCGATGCATTATGTATCCAGATTTTGACAATACACCAACTGAAAAGTTTTTGGTGGAAAAAACACAATTGTTAAATCCTGGTGGTTTTGTCTGTGTTGTAGATAATCAGCTGATTGTCTACCGCGGCAAAGCTTTATTTATTGATCGAACCTACGAGAGTCTGCAGAATGTTCCTGTGCTCCGTGCACAGTTCTTAACAAAGCACTTCGGTATTGTGCATGTTCTAAAAAAAGTATAAAACCAAAAAAAATAGTAGTAAAAAATAACAAAAAAACAAAAAAAGTAAACGGGCACACCAAGTGGCGTAACCGAGGTGGAAGCCGCAAGTTTACACACGCTTTTAAAAATTTTAATTCTTCTGATAAATCTTCTTCTTCCATCAAGGAAGCTGTTGTTAAACCGTTTGCTAAGCCATTTACAAGGCTGCAAAAATTTATTATGGAGACTTGGATCGACAAGATGAAGAGTGGCGAAAAAGTAACGTCGATTAAAAAGGAAGTCGAGGAATTTAAAAAAAATGCAGTAATTTTCAGAAGTTGATTTCCAAATACAAGTTGGCAATGGAGCAAGAAAAACTGAAGATTGAAAAAAATAAAAATAAACTAAGTACCAATGGTTTGGCAAACAACCAAAACCAAGGTAATACAAAAAGTGGTTTACATAACCATAAGGACAGCATCATCTCCATGAGTGAGTTCAGTGACAAATCTCATCACGACGATGAGTCATCAGATGATTGTCCTGCTGGTGGCGATGGATCTGATGAGAGTACTGATAGCAACGGCTATCACGTACAAAGTGAAACAGCCGAGCACTATGCTGGTGAGCTCAATCAGATTTGTGCAAATTGTTCGGCAATGCACTTTAAAGACGAGGCACACCGTAGACGTGCGTACAAGAGCTGCTTTCACTTCGGCAAGCTGGCCTACACACCACGAGATAGCTATCCAGAGTATCTCAGATCGCTGTTCACCGATACAGCAAGCAGCGATCATAAAAACTTCAAGGCTAACATACGATCGTACAACAGTGCCCTGTCGTTTGCGTCGATGGGAGCAAATGTGGAGCAATTCACACGAGGGATGTACTTCTTCAAGGTGCATGGTCAGGTCTACCACAACACATACAACATAAACCCGCTTGAGAACACTAACAGGAGATACTCGCAGTTGTACGTGGTTGATACAAACGATGCCACAGATTTGAGATCGAGAAACTCTGCAAATGAGAAGTGTGACAGAGCAATACTACACAATCCTGACAGGACAATAAGAGAAATCAACCCGTATGCAGAATCCTGCTGAGGTTGAGAGAAGTGCAGTGCGTGAAGGAAACATGTTGATGGTAAATGTGGTGTTCAACAAGAACATTCATCGCGATATGAACAGGTACAATGTTCCTACAACGGGTGAGATCGCAATGATATTGGCGACAAAAACGGCGAGCCTCCGTTCGAGCGAGACAGTTTCCGGTTCTTCTTTCGTTTGCGATGAGAATCGACAAGTCACAGGGTCAGTCATTTGACAAGGTAGGT